GGATTTTCCCTAGAAAGATGAGTAACTGCAGCTCCCATGAGTCCTGGAGGAGGGAGGATGGGGAATGCAGGTTTAGGAACGACAACTCTCATCAGCTCTTTGGTCCAGAACTACAACTCCCATCAGCCCCTGGGCCTGGTGTTCTGTTGGTCACTAGCGGAGGAGGAACCCTCCTCATTCCCAGTCTCAGGGTGGCGGCTGGACTTTCTGCCCGGGCTGCCAGGCCAGGCTGGGGCAGTTGCTGCACAGCAAGTGTGCCCAGCAGTGAGCTGGGTGGGAGGTACCTCTTGGTCAGCCGCGTGGTCCCCTGGGGAGATTGGGACCTGAGGTCTGGCCCAGATTTCTCATAGGAGAGTTGCTATCATTGGAGAGCAGGGCTGGGAGGGAAGGCATCCTGAGAGGTGACATTCCAGGCCCCTACTTGCTCCTTCCGGCTGTAGTCAAGGGGGGAGCCTTGAGGGCCACCTGAGAAGCGTGGGGTGGGGAGTGGTGCAGGGGCTGGAGGATTTGCTCATCCGAGTGGGTGGCCAAGAGGAGCTGAGGTCCTGGTGTTTGAGGTTGGCAGTGAGGGTGGAGGAAGGACTGGGGGTGGCCAGATTTCCCAGCAGGGAGCGTGGGCCTCGGGGGCAGCCTGGACGAGCCCGTGAGAGCAGACATTCCCACGCTTGGGGTCCCAGAGACTTTTCCCCCTTACCGTGCAGTGAGTGGCACCTGGGCTGTTGGCACCAGAAGGCTGGAGGTTGCGGCAGGTACCTGTAGGGCTGGCGAGGTGATGTGGTAGCCGAGGTAGGCAGTGTGACCTGGATGCACACTGTGACTCTGACCTCGAGTGTGGGCCTGAGGGGTCTGCTCTCCCCAGAGGGGACGCTCAAGCTAAGGGTGGGCTGGAACCGTGGAAGGACTGTGGCTGGAGCCAGGACTGTGGATTCTTGGGGCAGAGGCTCAGGTTCCAGAGACCAAGGACGGGAGGTTCCTAGGGCGCAGGCCTCCAGACCCAGAAGCTGAGGCCCGACTGTCCTCTGTGTCCCCCGAGTAGACCAAACCTGCGGGGGTCCTTTCCAGTGGTCCTGGGCCTTGAGGCACTGGGGGAGCTTGGGCTGCTGGGCTGGAAAAGCCTCCCTGTCCACAGCCAAGGGCCTGTGCTTTCTGGAACAGACACCCTCCACTGTGGGGGCCCCTCTGCTCAGGGGTGCTCCCTCCATCTCACTGGGCGATCGGGACTCAGGAGCGCACCCCTGCACTCCTTCGGGAGGCTCGGGGCCTCCGGCCCCTTCAACACCGCACTCCGCCTTCTCTCCGCTCTGTCCCTCTGACTGGTCACTTCCTGGGATTTCCCGAGGGTGCGTGCACACAGCAGACTCTAGCCCAGGCCTGGCAGAGTGGCCGTGATGGATGGATGGCCCCAGCGGAGCCCCGGGATAGGGCTCTGAGGACAAGGGGCTGTGTGGGTCATGAGGAAAGGGTGCTGCTTGGCCCCACGACATATGTTCTCATGCGTGTCACCGTGCTCAACACTGGGATGGGAGCTCCTGGGTGAGAGGTCTGCTCTCCCTGGGCCCCAGATGGCCACCACGCAGGGACGAGCAGCACGCACTGGGCCACACCGGGGCCACGCTCTGTCAGCCGACGTTCTAGCTTCCCAGCCCCAGCCCCAGCCCCAGATTTTGTTAGGGGCCCGGCGTGGGAGAAGGGAGCGAAGGGAGGAGCCTAAGTGGCCACACTGATCGCTGGGCAGATCTTCCTGGGAAAAGGGCCAAGTACATGATGGGAGGATGGAGGGTGGAATTGGAATTTGGAGAGGTCGGTGGGCCAGCCTGGTACCCAGCTTTAAAAATAAGGGGGCAGGAAGGCAGAGTGCTCGCCTGAGCCCCCAGAGGAAACTGACAGAAGCCACAGCTGTCCCCCACATTTGTACTTTCACATTCGTGCCACTTGAAATGCTTAAAGTTGGATTCTCATCCTGGTGGGAGGCCAGGCAAGGACCAAGATGACTCCGGCATCCCCCAGGCTTATCTAGACCATGCCACCCGCTACTTGGTGTCCCCCCTCTGCCCCCAGGACAGGGGGCTTTTTCTCTAGCAGAGGCCAGGCCTCCTTGGGCTCCAGGGTCAGTGTTAGAGGGGCTGCGCAGGGTCTGAG